TCAGTGGAAGTATAAGGTATAGCCTGGGCATGGTGGCATATTTAGGAGGCTGAAGCAGGAGGATTGCTGTGAGTTTGAGGCCAGACTGGGATATAAAGTGAGTTCAAGGCCAGCCTTAACTGCATAGTGAAACCCTGTCTCAAAAAGACATACACACACACACATACACACACACACATGCACATACACAAAGACATAGATGGATATAATTATTTAAACCAAGTTAAGCTGGGCGTGGAGGTGCATGGCTGTAATCACAGCACCCCAGCGGCTGAGGCAAGAGGATCAGTACAAGCTGGAGACCAGCCTGGGCTACAAAGTTAAAAACTTATGAAGTAACAGAGCCTATGTTATTACAGGCACATTGTTATTTAGACACACATATACAGAGTGAAAGCACAAAAACATTTGTGTCAGTGACAAACACTACGGTCAGGATGGGATTACCTCTGGAGAAAAGGAGAAAGATGAGGAAATGATAGCCAGCCGGAACTAACCGCATCTGCTAGCTAGTGATGGCAAAAATGAATAGGGACAAATACTGCTAACTAAGACAGGCTGTGTGGTAAGAAAGCTGGTGTTTATTACGTGATTCCTCGAACTTGTCTTTATGTTTAAACTAGGTACCTCATAATAAAAAAGCCAGTACGTGACTAAACCCAGCTCTCCAACTCAAGGAGGGTAATACAGAAGATTTGCATTTAACATGAACACCTAGCTATATGCCTGAAGGTGGCTTCAGGACCATGGGTTACTAGAGTTGGTCAACTCACTTCTGTTATGGTGAAAAGTCAGGTTTCCACCAAGCTGAATTATAGTCCAACGAACTCAGCGTTTGTGTGACTGACCACAAAATGCAACGCAAAGCACATGCTCATATCCGAGGAGGTTGAATTTTCAAGAGCCTAGGGTTCAATGGAATGCTAGTAGCTGTGGGACCAAGGCAAGAATGGTGCGATAATCCAGTGGATCCAGGGTTGTCGCCTCTAATTCCTGTCCCAGCTGAGGTCCTGTGTGACCGAATGGAGATGTGTGGCCTCAGGAGTGACTGTATCCTAAGGACTCTGCTCACTCCTGTCCTTCTGTCCCCTCTGAGAGAGGACGTATTGTGTCTATCTTGGAGACGGAGACTGGGCTCTCACCTGCTGGCACCTTGACCTTGGACTCCCTTGGCACCCTGTAGAATAAATTTCTGCTGTTCGGAGCTGCGCCAGTTGGTGGCGCTTCACAGAGCACAGACACACAGAGACAGGCGTGCTAATTGGGTGGCGGGAGGGGGCTTTGCAGTAGACTCTAACACAGATTGGGCGTCTTTTGCTTTAGGTGAGCAGTGCTGGCTGGCCGCCTCTCAGGTGGCTTTCTACGAGCTTTTTAGGAGCCATTACACAGAATTAAAATGTAGCCGAGACAGCCACTTAAAACATCAGGTGTCCTTATCTTTACCGTTAGCAGTCCTCGGCCATCAGCATTTCTTCTTTAAAACGCATGAATCTGGAGGCCGCCTGATACCTTCTCACCCCTCCAGCATCTTTAAATTCCTCTTCTTTAATTCACCAGAACAATTATCTGTGTGCTTTAAAAGTCCCCGGGAATAGTCAGATGATCAGGTATTTACAGTATTGACCTTCAGCTCTGGCTGGACCGAGCATCATGTCAGGTACTTTAGAAAAACACAGGTGACTGGGGCCACCCTGACCAGGCGGAGCAAGTGTGCAGGGTGAGGGCCCAGGGTCTGCCTTCTAAAGCATCCTCCCGCGGGTCTAAGGGCAGCTCACGCTGGGGCTGGCTTACAACCAGAGATGGAGAAGTAGACAGGGAAAAAATAATACAATCACAAAGAAACTTTTTTTCCATTTTTAGTGGCCTAGTTTTGACATTGCAGAATTAATTATTAATGATGCGATATCAGAGTCATATATGTGTGTGTAGTAGAACATATGGAAGCGTACAAAACAGTAATAACAGTGTGAACACCTGTGTAATCACAGTTCGCCTGTGTATGGAGCCTGGAAAGGCAGCGTTTGTGTTCCTCTCTGCTCCACCTTTCTTGAAGTGACCCTTAGGCTGAGCTGGTTGCTTATCATTATCTTAATTCTTCTCATATATTTACAACTTTTGTATAGTCTTATACACAAAATGATTTACCTGGGTGTGGTGGCCCAAACCTGTAATCCTGGCATTCAGGAGACTGAGGCAGGAGGATCGCCATGAGTTTAAGGCCAGCCTGAGGTACATAGCAAGAGCCCGTCTCAAACAAGCAAACGGAAACCCGAAACAAAACAAAACAAAATCTCCAAAAACTATATATGAAAAAGTTTCTGTTGCATCCCATGTCTTGAACTTTACATTTTTACCATCTGGAGAGTGAAAACCATAATTTTGTTTACTTTTAATTAGTATTAAAATGCACATTTTTCTTTTCACTTTTCACATTTACTATTACAAATGAGTCTAAGCATTGTTATCATTTGGGTTTTTTTTTTAAAGCAAAAAATGGATCCCTGTCTTTATCCATTTTGCCACAGGATTGTTTTCTTTTTCTTGGTTTGTAACAATTATTACAAAGAAACATTTAAAAGCAAAAGTGAAGTATGGGCTCTTAGGTAATTCATACTGAATCAGCGACACAGCTAAAGCTAGATGAGAGTATTTTTATAGCAATCTTCATAATGGATGGTGCACTATAACCTTGTAACATAGCCCAGCAACAAAGTGCAGTCTAAAGAAACATGGTCAGGAAAAGTTCATGGCGTCAGTGCGCAGAGGAATTTCAGGTGTCAGGAGCTGCTTCAGCGCTGAGCTGGCTTCTCGGAGTTTGCTGTCTCATCTGGGATGTCGGGTCTGGGCAGCTCTGAGCACCGCCGCTGTCTGCCTCTCCCACAGGGGGTCCTGGTTTGATTGGTCTGGGAAGCAGGCAGGGACTGGGAGTTTAGAAGCTCGCAGGTGATTCCACAGTGCAGCCAGGGTGCAAGGCACTGACTTAGCAGACAGCAAAACAAACACCCACACCTCCGCAATCCCGCGTGCCAAGCGGACCAGCAAGAAGGAAACACCTGAATGTGGTAAGTCCTTGTGTGACGTGCGTGAGCTGCGCCACCATCTTTCCTCATGTGTGCTCCTGAAAAACTGAACAACAAACTGCAAAGATAACCCTTCAGCCTAGGCTCCTCAGGCAAACCCAGCTGTCCCAGCCATTTCTCGGAGAGGCTAAATCGAGAGCCAATCTCCAGGACACTTAGGTCACTAATCATTAGACGAACTGAGGGAAGCATTAGTTTAGAGATTTCTCTGCAGAGTCGTCAGGGGAAGTACACAGGCTCAGGTAAATGTACGTGCCAGGTGTGTAAACACATGTTAACAAGTGTAGGTGTGTCCCAAATATGGCTCTTGTATTCACGTTTTTCCTTTAGATCAACTGTAACTGGATAATTTTCTATTTTTTATTTTTTTAAAAAATTTAAGAATACAAAATGTTGACAGGAAAAAAATAGCATTAGAAGTGATACAAAATTTCACTAAACAAAGTAATAGAAATTCAGGAGTGGTTGCCGTATTGCATGATGCTATCTTCAGGTTAGCTGCTCAGGTTATCAGATATAAATGTGCAAGATTGGTTTAAAGAAAAAAAAAACAAAAAAGTGGTAAGAAATCCAAAATAATAAAAGAATAACAGGAAAAAAATTTAAGCATTAATTTTCAAAAGACCAGCAGAAATCGGCAGAACAATTATCCAAACTATTCCGCATATATACCTAAATGTATCATTTCAGCTTGTATTTTCCTTTGCTAACTCTGGCCATCCACAGCACTCTTATTTTTGAGGTTACAGAATGCTGTGTATAATCTATATCCTCCTTGAGGGGTCTGTTTGGTAGCTCAGGGCTGTCCTAACTAGGAAAGGAAGGAGAAGAGGATGCTATAATGAAATACTCTGATTTCGTACAAGGAGGTATCCTTCCAGGCACTCATTAGTCTCCACAACAATGATCCAATGATTGAATCCTTGATGGGTGTCAGTAACCACTGGAGAAGAAATAGAGGCAAAGAAGGCAAGCACCAACATTAGGCGCTCAAGTGACCAAATTCACATGACCAGTAATGAGCGATCCATGTGCTGATTGAAACTGTGAATCACTAAGTGGTAAAACGACGCAAAGCCTGGCCTACAGGAGAAAGGTTCATTTTAGTGTGGCCCAAAGGGACAAGCCTTCTGCCAGGTTCTCAAGCAAAAGCACTAACGAAGCAAACCCACTTTGCAGGGGGCACCTCTAGATGCACTAGTGGGTAGGGGACTCATTTCAAAGGTGGAGATATTTATAAGTAAAAGTTATACCAAAATGGCAGTAAAGTTTTAAGCTTCAACAATGGTTTTGTGGAAGACATTCCAAGAATCTTGGGCATGAGGACCAGGTTCTGTATGGAAGGTGGTGAACAGCTCCAGTGTCCCTACATGGTCCACCATGCCTTAACTTTCTGTCCTGGAAAGATTTCCTGGCTCTCTGCAGATTCTGATTTAGTTATTTTATTTCTTT